GGCGGGGCAGATCCGTGTGTGAAGTGTCCGGGGAGCTCGCACGCTGCCGGGGGGCACTGACAAAGGCTGCGGGTCCGGCGCGGAGCGAGCCGGTGAGGGTTTGCCGCCATGCGGGTCCGTGTCCACGAGGTGCCCCGAAAAAAGTTCTCAGGAGCATCTTCCCAGAAGGACTTCTTTTGAGCGGCAAGTACGATGCTTGGTTTTCAACTGACCCCACTGGTACGACTGTAGGAATTTTCATGTACTTCTTGTGCATTACATTGGTATGAGTGTTTTCCTTTAACGGCTCCTGTTGTTCAGGTCTTACCTATTTATTCCGAAAAAGTGACCTATTAATCATTGCGAGTGCTCACTTTCTTCGGTAGCTGGCTCTAATGAAGTCGGGGAGGTACTGTTACTGGTTGCCATGGAGAAGGAACTTCATCCTTTAACTTCTTTTCCTTCTGTCCCGTGCAGACGATTTTGAAGAGAAAAAGCCCAATGTGAAGAAGAATAACTCAAAAGATCCGACTAGCAAGAAGAAAGGAGATGCTGGAGTTTCCAACTCAGCAAATAAGACTTCCAAACATAAAAGGACAAAATCACTAAGAAAGGGAAGTGAAGAAATTCCTAGAAGTGAAGAAAATGATAACAAAAAGGAAACATGCAGGCAAGTTTACTTATCCTTTAAGTCTATAGGCACTCTCTCTTCATGGTTATGTGTTATTTGTTTAGGGCCTAGTGCTGCATATGTGCGTGTGAGCAGTTTAGTTTAGGCTGTCAGTCCACTTTAGTACATTCATGTCACACAGCTGAACAGAAGTATCATCTTATTCCTTACAGAGTTAGTCCTGCAAGGAGGAAGATAATCTGTAAGGGAAAGAAATGTGTGAGCCTTTTCAAATTCAATGGTTTAAATATAAAACTTTACCTCATTTGCTACAGTTTTCACATGGGACTAGGGAGGCATTCTGGAATGCAGCATGGACAGAAATGCTGGCCTGAGATCTGACTTTAAAATGATGAGCAGAAATCGTGATTTTTTTGAATCCAGGTAAAATATCAGCACAATCTGCCCATGGAGATTGTGATAGCAAATGAATGAAGAAAAAGAAGTTAAACTGAGATTCAGGCATCTCCCTTCCTAAACATCCTTGCAGAACCAGGACCTAAGTTTGCACTGAAAAAGTGTTGCTCCATTGAGCCCATGGTTATTTACAGCAAAGATGGTTTGCTTTACAGAGGTGTCTGTGGTTTAACTGTCAAATACTCGGTCTGTTGTTACTGATGCAGAGGGGGTGCTTCATTAATTTCCCTATTACTTGTGTGTTCCTTCTCTATTTTTCTTAAATAAACAAGCACCTACACTGCCTGATGCTAAAGCCATTTTGATAATTTTAACAGTGACTCACTAAAGTCCCCTCAGAAGATAAAGTTGGAGAGAGAATCTCCTGTTAAAAAAGAGATGGATGAAGAAAATGATGATGATGATGATGAGAGTGAAGATGAATGGGAGAATGTGGAAGGTAACAATTGCATGCTTTCTCATTTTAAGGAGTAAATATATCAATGATGATGATGATGATGAGAGTGAAGATGAATGGGAGAATGTGGAAGGTAACAATTGCATGCTTACTGATTTTAAGGAGTAAATATATCTTTTTTTTGTAATTTGATTTTTGAACCATTTCTCTTTTGGATGTATATACTCTGTATACCCAAACTATGCTCTGTGTGCATACAAGCATAGCTTTATAAGCTCATATCTCTATGTTCTTATCCAATTGTCACACTTCAAGGGCATCTATTCCATGCTTACTTACTGTTTAATATTTTATTTTTCCAGAACCCCAGGAACCTGACATAGAAAAGTTAGAAGAAGCTGCTCTTCTTCCAGCAGCGGTGCTGCCAAGCAGTTCTGTAGAGATAGAGATTGAAACCCCAGTGCAGAGGAAGGAAAGACTAAGGAGGTAAGAACAGGGAAGGCAGAGGAGGGCCATTAGAGCATTAAGGCAAAAATACGCTGTCTTGACTGCAACTGCCTTGCTCTGTTCTGAGTGAAAATCCCCACTTTGTGCAGACTATTGAGATGGAATGATGTGAGGTCATGGACTGGAGAACAGTTCACACACTGACAATTTTACCAGAAATCTTCAGTGGAAGTTGGTGGGAATGGAGGTTTTTCACCTTCCTTGAAAATCAAGCGTGTTACTTCATTGCGCTTTAATATCTCAATTTCCAAACCAGGGACAGTAGCCCAGGCAAGCCCTTCATAACAAAACAACCAGAATGTCTGTTGCCTCTAAGTTAAAAGACTTCATCAATGAAGAGAAAACCATTTTTCAGGAGTCTGAATGGAAAGCTAGCAGTAGTCTAAAAGTCAAACAGTTTAGACAATGAATTATAACTTTAGTATGGAGCTATGCAAAGCTGTCAGGTAGGAAACTGTAGGCACAAAGAGTGAGGTAGAATTTAGGCCATGGGAATATACCCAAGCTCTCGCTAGTCAGGTATGTACAGTTCACAGTAAATTAGTCATATGCAGCCTGTGTGGTTATTCGTGTAGCTGGTAACTAAACTTTTGTTAAGTGTGCACAGAAGATTTTCTGGGATAGGTTCTTGTTGTGAACTGATACAGTTCGGGAATCTACAAAGGCAGGTCCCTAGAAAATCCACATCATCCATTTCTTTTGTAATCTTATGCAGAGAAAAAAGGAAAGCCGAGTATGATATGTATCTTCGGAGAATAAAGAAACGTATCATCAAGGAGGTTCGTGAGGACACACATAAGGTATTCGTCACACAGAAACCTGGCAGAGCAAAAATGTAGTGTAAAGATGTCTGAACTGATTCATAATGAAGAAGAAACCAAATTTTGAACAAATAATTTGGGGCCATGGCTAGAAGTGAAAAAATAAGAAGGCTGTAGTCCTGACAAATGCTCATTAGACTTCTGCTAAGCTGTAAGTTAGAAACATCAGTGACTGCATTAGCACAATTCTGCCTCAAAGCAGATGCGAATAGGGTGCATATTTCTCCACTGAGTATCTGCTCATGCTGTTGGGGTTCAGGTGTTGGTTATGTAGAGCAGGACACACTGACAAGGACTTCAGGGCTTTACTGTCTTCTGACGGTGATCTGAAGATGGCCCTGTGTCAACCCTGTGTATGCTTGGGCGGCTTCATTGTTGCCGGTCTTTGTTCAAAGGAGCAGTAAAGCCTTCCTCATCTCTGCCATGGACAGTCGTTCCCACAAAGGAAATCTCTTGTGAACTCACTAGAGAAACTTTTTTCCTCAGGTCCACCTTTTGTGTCTATTAGGAAATGGTTTCTACAGGAACAGGATCTGCAGCCAGCCGGATCTTCTTGCCATTGGTCTGTCCATCATCCCCTCCCACTTCACAGATGTGCCTGCAGGCCAAGTGGACCTCCCTTACCTTTCCAGCTTGGTGAAATGGTAAAACTCTCTCTCCTAATGGGGCTGTCACGTAGAATGTAGAGCCAGGGTTCAGGGAGAGGGGTAAACGTCATTCCCAATTGTCAGTGATCTTTCTGTTTTTAAATACAAGGGTGAGAGTCTGTCCTTTTTACAGAATGAAAGGATGAACCGTGAAGTTGAATACAGTCACAAATACCAGACAAGTATGTGTCTCATATTTCAGGTTTGTTGGAACCTTCACTGTCAATGCTGAGCTTTCCACTGAAAAGGGAGAGCCACTTCAGTCGACCCTGGAGAGGCGCTTTGCCATCTATGCTGCACGAGACGGGGAAGAGTTGGTTCATGTAAGTGACTGGGGAGCGCAGGGTCGGTTGCTGACTGCAACTGGGTCAGTGCTGTAGAGCTGTCAGGTCATACACAAAGTGGTAACTGAGGGATGGATTTGGAGAAAAAAAATTGGTGACTCAGGCGGTTCTGTAGGTTTTTTTGTTGTTTTTTTTCTCTTGTTTTATTTTAATCTGGAGTCCTTCTGGGATTAAATTATTAAATTTGAGCTGTGCCTAACTGGAGCCTCTGGTTCTGGTTGGTGTCAGCGTGTGCTCCGTGTTCTGCTGTGGATGGTTTCACGTATAGTGTGTAGAACTACTTGGCCCTAAGCGTGCTTTGGCTTCTTTATATTGCTTTAGTGATGTACATCAAAGAAAGCCAGCTTAACAACTTTCTTCTGAAATGTGAATTTGAGAGAGGAATTTTTGGGGCTTGCTTGCAGCCAGTAAAACTCTTCACAGATCTTTGAGTTAGAAGGTTGGCAGTTTGCTACTGTGAGTCACCAGTGAAAGCCAAAGGAATTGAGCTTAGATTTAGAGCAGGCCAAAGCCAAGGCTTCGAAAGGACTTCAACTCTACAGTCATTTTGTGGTGGAATTGGATTAAGGGAAGAAGTGGAGTGAGTTGCTTCAAGTCACACAGAGATTTTGGTAAAACACCCAATGGAGGGGGAAACGCAGGAGATCAAATTGACAGGGGACATTTGAAGGAGCAGAAGCGAGCTGCTGCTTTGCAGGTGTGTGGCTTGCAGCTCTGCCCTGTTCCTGATGAAGTGGGACGTTAACCTTAAACATGCTTTATTTTTTCTTTTGCAGATATTTTTAGTTCTTCTCCGATCGTTACAGCTGCTGTGTCGCCTTGTGCTGTCTTTTCAACCTATTCCTCTCAAGGAAACAGGAGCAAAGGTAGCCTTTGTTTTAGGTTTCTCCTTCAGAAAAAACCACCTATTTTTCTGTGTTTCAGTAAAAACTTCTTATGCTTCAATGGTTTTAAATTTCTTTAAAACTGAGACAGCAAACACTGCTGGAATACACCTCTCTTCAGCCATTTGCCTGAAATTTTGGAGTTCCTAAGACATGCAGATTAGCCATGCCTGCCAACCTTTGGTCTGCGTGCACCTTGTGCTGATTTCAGTTTTGGTTTGGTTTTTAACATGTTCTTAGCCAAGGTGACAAAAGTGACATAGCCTCTTTCTTTGCAGGGAAAAAGCTCATCCAAGAGGCATTCTCTTAGCGGTACCTCTGAGGAGCAGGAGAGCACAACTCCCAAAGCTGCAGCAAAAAAATGCCCCTGCAGCAAAACCAAACAGAATGAAAATTCCTCAGAGACCAAAGAAGACAACAAGGAGCCAAAGAAGCGCAAAGCTGCTCAGACCAGAAGGACACCCAAGTCAAAGTTGGGTACAGGCAGCCAGGAGCAGAAGGAATCTGGTAATGAGGAGAGTGGTTCAGCATTAAAAACTGTGGTAGTCAGGCCCAAGAACAGTCAGCGCAGACAAGTGGCCTCCAAAGTGTGTTACAAAGAAGAGAGTGGAACTGATGAGGGCAGTGGTTCAAACTTTGAGATTCTGGAGGAAGACAGTGATCTCTCTGATGATGATTTTGAAATTGCCCCTAAAAGACGGCGGAGCTCACGGGGCTCGCAAAAGTCAAAGCTAACAGCTACAAAAAGCCCAGAGCCTAAGATTTCACAATCAAGGCTATCCAAAAATTCACATGGAGCTGAGCCTATGTCAGCAGAAGGTACAGCTTCAGCCTTGCCTCATGCACAGAGAAAGAGAAGAAAAATAATTTCTAGTGATGAGGATGATGGACAGCCGGCGGTAAGGAAAGCGATGCACACAGACCAGTGGCTGGAGGTTTTCCTGGAACATGAAGACAAGTGGGTGTGCATAGACTGTGTTCACGGCAGTGTTGGCCAGCCCCAGCTGTGCTTCACACACGCCACAAAGCCGCTTTCCTACATTGTGGGATTTGACAACGACGGGAGCGTCAGGGATGTGACACGAAGATACGACCCGGTGTGGATGACTGCAACGAGGAAGAACCGTGTGGAGCCTCAGTGGTGGGAGGACACGCTGCAGCCCTATCATAGTCCCTGTGTGGAAAGAGACGAGAAGGAGGAAAATGAGGTAAATGGCAATAGGTTATTCAGCACGTTTAGGGCCAGGAGTGCAGTCCTGGCATTCAGGCAAAAATCATTAGGAGTCCTTTCATGAGGAAGGAAGTTTGTATTTAAGCTTGAAATGTTCAGATTGAGCACGTTTAAAGGGAATATACAATGATAGATGAAAATAACATCCCGTGGAGGCTGTACAGAGAAACTTGCATAGCAGCCCATGCTGGAAACTTAATGTGGTTTCTGTGCAGTTTAGCATTACCTTTCTTGGAGAGAGTCATTAAAATACATGGATCTTGGTAGGTCAAAGGACCTACCTATCTGCAACAAGAGTGCCTTGGTCTGTTGGCTCATCCGATTAAGCTTCTAGTGTTTTTTTTCCTTTGATCCATACTATCATCATCGTTTTCTTACAAAGGGTAGTGCAAGTGAGTTGTGAAATCACTCTTTGTGTAATTCTTACAGTTTCAAGTTAAGCTTCAAGATCAACCTCTACCAACAGCAATTGGAGACTACAAAAACCACCCTCTTTATGCACTAAGAAGGCACCTCTTGAAATACGAGGCAATCTACCCCGAGTCAGCTGGTATCCTGGGGTACTGCAGGGGAGAGGCTGTCTACCCCAGGTGAGTTGTGCACTTGTTGTCATGCATGACTGTGATCTTTGTAACAAATTTAGGAGCCAATCTGTGTGAAGAGCATGATGCTATCAGCAGTAGTGTCAGGCCACATGCATAGACAGGGTGAGGCGTTAAGCTGCTTAGACAGTCTTTGCGTATCGCTTGGATACAGGTTTTTTATCATTCCTAATGTGAATAACAGCTTGGAAGTCTCTTATGGAGGGACTTCAAAACTTTTACGGTTGCTTCCTTCTGGCCATTTTAGAGCCTGCGTACACACACTGCACTCCAAGGACACTTGGCTGAAGCAAGCTCGAGTGGTGAGGATTGGAGAGGTGCCTTACAAGGTAAGAGGGTTCGACTTCCTCCTGTGCCGCACATCTGTCCTCTAAAGTTCAAGCTCAATTCTGTTTTGTTTTTTTTCCTTCTGTCAGCACGTGTAGATTTTTCCCCTCGGTTGCATTGTTTGTGGTAGCTGTGTCATGAATCTGTCCACCTACTGTGCCTATATTTCCTCTATACTACCCAAAGTTCAGCTCGCTCTTGTTCTCACCCCATGAGTACTTACAGACCTGCACCCTTTTCGTCTTCAAAGGCATCCCAGTGTCTTATGTGAACTGCAGGATCTGGCTACCTATTGCATACAGGTGCCACAGGTTTTCATTTAGAAGCAATGGCTACTGAAGTTAGGCATTTCTTCTCTCTCAGAGCCTTCTCCTTTGATCATAGAATCATAGAATGTATTGGGTTGGAAGAGACCTTTAAATATCATCCAGTCCAACCCCCCTGAAATGAGGAGGGACATTGGTACCAGATCAGGTTGCTCACAGCCCCATCAAGCCTGACCTTGAATTTCTCCAGGGATGGGGCCTCCACCACCTCTCTGGGCAACCTGTGCCAGTGATCTACCACCCTCATGGTGAAGACCTTCTTCCTAATCCAACTTAAATCTACACTTTTCTAGTTGATGTCCTAGGAAAGTCTGAAATCCCTGGCAGTTGTGGTGGTACAGGCTTGATTGTTGTATTTGCACAGGTGGTGAAAGGATTTTCCAACCAGGCGAGGAAGGCGCGCCTTCAACAGGTTGTGGTCTGGGACAGAGAGGACCTGGCACTGTTTGGTCGCTGGCAGACAGAGGAGTATCGGCCACCTGTAGCAGTGGATGGAAAGGTAGCTAGGAGGGCACAGGGCTGATGTTAAAGGAAGGGTTTTGGGTGGAGCTGTGGGCTTTATTCCAGAAGTTGCATGTTTCAGAGGTGAGATCAGTCAATAGCGCCTGGATTCAGGACTGAGAGTTGTGAGGTAACTGTACCCAGGGGGAAATGGTCAAAACTTAATTGAGGCTTTCCTGAGTATGAGTAATGAGTGTTAGCAGTGCAAACCACTAACTTTATCATTTCATTGATCTACTTTGCCTACCCCATGTTTGTTTTGCTAATTCTCTGTATTACAGTCTGAGTAGCAAGGCCTAGGCAGAGAACATCACTAGGACCTAACCATGCAGCTAAAATCTAGGCCTGTGTCTTGTCATGTGAATATTAATTGAATACTGGAGCGGAATGTAGTAGGTCAGAAGGATGGGAGTCCCTGAGTTGCAGCAGGGATTTTCACCTCTCCAGAGAGCAGGAGCGTCACCATTTCTCTTTAATTTTGCATTAACAGGTTCCTCGGAATGAATATGGAAATGTCTATCTCTTCCTGCCGTCCATGTTACCCATTGGCTGTGTGCAGCTGAGACTCCCAGGCCTGCACAGAGTGGCGCGGAAGTTGGACATTGACTGTGCTCAAGCTGTCACTGGATTTGATTTTCACTGTGGCTTCTCACACCCAGTGTATGTAAAGGTGCTTTGTTGCAGCTGACAGATGTTGATGTCCTGCAGAAGCTGTATACCCTGTTAAGCAGTATGTGCCCTCCTCTTCTGTACTAGTAGGGGCAGTGGAGTCAGTGGCCCTGGCATTCAGAAATGACTGTGTGCTTTAAGAGTCTGTACTTGTGTGGGGAGTACAGGTGATGAGTTACACACTGAGATCCTATCAGACAGACAGACGGTTCTGTCAGTACTCAATAGCGTATGGGCCAGCAGACATTTGCTCCCTTTTTTCTTCTAGTATCTGACAGGATTTTGTTCTCCTTCCTAGTACCGATGGCTACGTTGTCTGTGAGGAGTATAAAGAAGTCCTCATTGCTGCCTGGGAGAATGAACAAAAAGATATAGAAATGAAGGAGAAGGAGGTGAGAATTATTTGTGCAGCTTCCTTATAGTTACATTTAGGAAGTAAATTCCATTTAAACTGAACAGTCAAACAAGGGTGGGCTGTGCAAGCAACAGACTCAGAGCTCTGTGACCATGAGGGGCTTGTTGTGTCCCCTAGATGCCTCATTTTAGGCTTTCTGTCCAGACTGCAGTGGGATTGTAGCAGTATCTGAAATGGTGCATACTCTGGAGTAGCATCCCATGGCTGCTGGGAAACAAAAGTGAGGAATACACATGTAAGGTTAAAGTTTTGGAGGTGGTTGTGGTGTAATTTACACAGTCAGGGTGCACATTATAAAGCAACATGAATTCATTTTTTTAGCAGATAATTTACTCTTAAGAATCCTACTGGCCTATAATCTTTAAATGTGACACATTTAAGTTGATGCATTTTTTTTTATTAATCGCATTTTAAAATATTCAATGTTCCATTTTCTGAGAGTGTAAATACATTGAAACTTATGATAGTAAATTTTTCTCTTTTAAATAATCCCCCACAGAAGCGTGAGAGAAGAATTCTGGGGAATTGGAAGCTGCTGACAAAAGGACTTTTAATTAGAGAGAGAGTGAAGAAACTGTACTCCATCAAGGTATTCTGCATTTCTGTTAGTAATTTCTTTTTCAGGATTATATTTCTCCACCAAGAGACTTTTTCCCAGTCTTTCCTCTGTGTTATGTTTCCATAGTGGACTGTAGAACTTCCAGAGTGCAGTTGCTCAAAAATCTTTTTCCTGTTGTTAGCATGTGATTAGCAACTGGGAAAAAAATCTACGTCAAAAATTCAATCCTGTCATGTCCATGACAGATTCGTTACTGTGTAACAAAAGATGAGTGTTTCCCAAAACATCATTTTTTGGTATTTTGTTTTGACATACCCTTGTCCTAGAGAAGTCCAAACCAGAGCAGCTGACTTCTGTAGCGTCATTAAGTGTCACTGCGATGGAAGACGAGCTTTTTTAGAAAAGAGTTTCTAGACAGTGCTCTAGAAATCACAACTGTCTGATTTTCACATTTGTTTTTGCAGACTGAGCCATTAGCACCTGATAGAGATCAAGGACCTGATTTATCTTCGGATGAAGAAGAAGGTCCAAGTTCAAAGACTGCCATAGCAAATGCAGCCATTTTTTGGCCCCAAAATCGCCTATTGGAGCAAAAAGAAGAGAAAACCAGAAAGAGGAAGCAAGAGAATAATCCGTATGGGAAGCATATCATAGAATCATAGAGTCATATAATGTATTGGGTTGGAAGGGATGTTTAAAGATTTTCTAGCTTAAGCCCCCTGCAGCAAGCAGGGACACTGTTACTAGATGTTACGTTACTATCCCTCCAACCCTGGTGTGTCATCCTGCCTCTCATCACAGTCTGTCTTTATTGCTCATGGACTGCAAGTTACAGCTTCCATACCACTCAGCTGGAAAATAAGTAGTGGGTAGTGATCAGTGGACCTTACCAAGTTGGGAAGTTTCCTAGCAGCGTCCTTAACCCATGCCTCAGGAAGACAGCAGGTGTCCCTGTGGGGAGGGTCTGCTCAGCAGATGGGACCCTCTGTTCCCCTCAGAACAGAGTCACCTCCCATGATAACTCTCCTTTTCTTGTTTGTGGAAGAGGTTGTGATGGGGGCAGTAGACCTTTCTGACTGTGGAGGCCTCTCTGATGTAGGCTGCCCATCATCCACGTCCTCATTTGTCAGGCTTTCCTCAACCAGAGCCTCATACCTACTGTTTAGAGGCACCTGGGGAGGTGATGTGGGCAAGGAGGGAGTCCACCTGGTGTCCTGACCTTGAACCACCCTCCTCCATTCACTCTTTGCATTTGGGCCTCCACCTTCTGCCTGACAGGAGCAGGACACAGGGGCCCCTTGATCCTGTGTATTTGCTATTGGATGCTCCCATTTTTGTTTCAAAGAGGACAGGGCCTGGCTCCACCAGTCTATGTCTTGTTCTGCCTCCCTGATGCTCCTGAACCTTTCAACTTCTCACAGCTCTGCCACCAACCTGAGCAGGTCATCCACCTGTATACAGTGCACACAGCAGCTCTCGTAGCTGCCACCCATTTCGAGAGAAGGCTTCCGGCAGTCCCTGCAGCCTGCGGCCTGGACAGCTGCGTCTTTCTGTGGCTGCACCCACGTCCTTTCTGATAGGCGTTGGGATCCCGACCCTCCGCCGGGTGAAGACCAAGGTTGAGCTCTTTCGGGCCTGCCCTCCTGAGGCGCTTTCACCGAAGGCGGGTGTGGGCGCCCCTGACTCCGCCCGCGCTGAGGCGGAGCCGCGGTTCGTCAGCAGCCCGCGCTGGCGGCTCTGGGCGGGGTTGCCTGGGTCGCCGTCTCTGCTCGCGCTTCGGCCATCTTGGATGTAGCCGCGGTTTTGCCGCTTCAGGAAGGGTTCAGCGGCGCCATCCTCCGCTCCGGAGCCCTTAGCCTCAGTGGCTTCACCGAAACGTGCGAGCCTTTTCAAATTCAATGGTTTAAATATAAAACTTCATTTGTTATAGTTTTTACATGGGACTAGGGAGGCTTTATGAAATCCAGCATGAACAGAAATGCTGGCCTGAGATCTGAGTTTAAAATGATGAGGAGAAATCTTTACGCATACCATTCTGTGGTGTTTTTTGGAATACAGATATGATATCGGCATGATCTGCCCATGGAGATTGCTATAGCAAATGAATTAATAAAAAGAAATTAAACTGGTCTCAGTACACTTTGGAGGTTCAGTATGAACAAATGATTTGGTGAGCCATTTCTCCAATGACTCGTTTGTAAAAGCTGTTGTAATGGATGGGGCCTTTTGTAAGTTCAGGCATCTCCCTTCCTAAACATCCTTGCAGAACCAGGACCTAAGTTTGCACTGAAAAAGTGTTGCTCCATTGAGCCCATGGTTATTTACAGCAAAGATGGTTTGCTTTACAGAGAAGGTGTCTGTGGTTTAACTGTCAAATACTCAATCTGTTGATACTGATGCAGAGGTGGTGCTTCATTAATTTCCCTATTACTTGTGTGTTCTTTCTCTATTTTTCTTAAATAAACAAGCACCTACACTGCCTGATGCTAAAGCCATTTTGATAATTTTAACAGTGACTCACTAAAGTCCCCTCAGAAGATAAAGTTGGAGAGAGAATCTCCTGTTAAAAAAGAGATGGATGAAGAAAATAATGATGATGACGATGAGAATGAAGATGAATGGGAGAATGTGGAAAGTAACAATTACATGCTTTCTCATTTTAAGGAGTAAATATTCTTACATACTTCTTTTTGTAATTTAATTTTTGAACCATTTCTCATTTGGATTCAGGTAAATGTATATACTCTGTATACCTAAACTGTGCTCCATGTGCATATCTGTATCTTTAAAAGCTCATATTTCACCATGCTTTTAGAATGGTTGGAAGTAGGAGGTAAACCAGACAACCTGCTGCTAATGCTTTGAATTTGTCTATTTGTTGGCTTACATTAAAATTATGCTACCGCACACAGAGCACTTTCTCAGCTGTTTGTGTTATCTGACATTGAGCAGCTAAGGATGGTTTGAAGATTCAGAACTGTGACCTCCTAGTAAAGGAGAGCAGAGATTAAACCAGCTGAGCTGTTTGATTAGGTGGCCATCAACAAAGTGTGATAAGAATCATGATGATCATAGTCTTCATGTTTTGCTGCTACAGATTTATGCCTTCTAAAGTGAAGAGTTGTCAAGTTTTTTTTTCTTTGTTATTCTACAAATACCCTTCAAGTCACATCTCCAAGAGAAAGATGTAGGGAACCATGTCAAAAGCTTTGCAGAAATCCAGATAGATGACATCCATAGCTTTTCCCTTGTCTACTGATGTAGTTACCCCATTGTAGAAAGCCACTAGGTTGGTCAGGTAGGACTTGCCCCTGGTAAAGCCATTCTGGCTGTCTCGAATCACCTCTTTGTCCTCCATGTGCCTCAGCATAGATTCTAGGAGGATCTATTCCATGATCTTCCTAGGCACAGAGGTGAGGCTGACAGGTCAGTAGTTTGCAGGGTCCTCCTTTCTACCCTTATTAAAAATTGGTGTAATGTTTCCTGTGTTCCAGTCACCAGGGACTTAACCTGACTGCTATGACTCTTCAAATATTATGGAGAGTGGCTTGGCAACTACATCAGCCAATTCCTTCAGGATTCTGGGATGCATCTCATCAGGTCCCACGGACTTATGTTCAGGTTCCTCAGACAGTCATGAACCTTATCATCACTTACACTGGGAGGGACTTTTTCTGCCTGGTCCCTGTCTTGTGAGCCATCAACTTGAGAGCCATGAGGGGAGAGGTTGCTATTGAAGACTGAGGCAGAAAAGTTGTTGAGAACCTCAGCCTTCTCCTCGTCTGCTATTCCCAGTTCCCCACTGTTGCTCATCAGGAAGGGGACACTTTCTTTAACCTTCCTTTTCTGGTTGACATACCTGTAGAAACCCATCTTGTTTTTCTTGGCATCCCTTGCCAAGTTCAGCTCCAGCTGTACCCTGGCCTTCCTGACCTCGTCCCTACACACCCAGGCAACTCTTCCCAGGATACCTGTCCCTGCTTCCACTGCCTGCGTAGTTCCATCTTGCCTTTTAGTTTGGCCAGCAGGTCTCAACTCATCCATGCTGGTCTCTTGACTGTCTGATTTTTAACACCTGCTTTTGCAGACTAACCTGTTAGCATTGGCAGGTCTCAACTCATCCATGCTGGTCTCCTGACTGTCTGATTTTTACATCTGCTTTTGCAGACTAACCTGTTAGCATTTGTGACAGAGCAAGGACCTGATTTATCTTCAGATGAAGAAGAAGAAGAAGATCCGAGTTCAACGACTGCAGTAGCGAATGCAGCCATTCCTGGCCCCAAAATCACCAATTAGAGCAAAAAGAAGAGAAGGAATCCATAAAGAGGAAGTGAAAAGAGACCAGACAAGCATTTCTCTGCCATTTTCAGATGCATGAACAGTAGTCACAACGAAAGCATCCATTGCCAGTTCAGGACTTCATCCTCCTCTATACTTGCATTTCTGAGCTATCAGGGACCAACCCAACACGCTATCAAGTTTCTTTTGCTGTCACAAGTAATTCAGTTCATCCTTTTGTCCTTAGACTTTTGAGAAGCCGATGTGCAGTTGTACCTTCTGTGGTTTTTGGCTCCCTTTTGTACCACTTGGCACTAGTCCTTCTGTTTTCTTAGGCATTCCTTTCACTAGCACTGTTTTGTCCCATTTTTCTCCTTTCCATATTTTCCTGCTTGCCTAGAAATAAAGCATATAATAAAGCAATACTGAAAAGTAATTTTTAAAAAGCCTACAGACCAGCCTTTTGAAAATAGTATTTTATTACATATATAAAAGCTCAGCACTTCTGTAGAAAATTGTATCTTCATCTCTAATATAGTGATGCTGGTTAGTTTCCTGAATCATTGGTAAAACAGCAACCCAACATTGGTTCTTCTCTCCAGTGGAGTTTAATTGATGGGAGCAAAAGCTAATGCACGCCAGCTGCATGCATGCACCTCCTATAACCTTTCACTCACTACTCCTGCTTTTACCAGCAGCTAAAGCTGAATTGACAACATTCAAATACCAGAATAATGAGAAGAACTAAGGCTAATAAAGTAATCATGTCTCAAAACATTTATGAATTATAACTCCGACCACTATTTCAGTACCATTTGTAGCAAACATTTGCTACTATTATGTTCAAGTTAAATTCCCTTGATACGGGAAACATATTTTTCCTGACAGTCATAACTTGATTTCATAAATTAAAGACATTACTTTTGTACTGAATTATGGATACTTAAAGAAAAAAAACCCACTGTAGTGTAAGGAGGGCACATTTGGAAGCCAAACTCTAGCTAGGTGGAGAGAGAATTAAAACCAGCACAAGACAGTCTCTGATCTCAAGTACTGGTAACAGCAGAAATATGTAAACATAAGCCATCACAACACTAAAAGAAGGCATTCCTCTAACATGATATAAAGCTCAAAATACAGGCTACTAAAGTCTATGAAATCTAATCACACAAATATGTTTTCATTATTTAATTTCATGGAGTATCTTCATTGTCCTTACTAGGTGAAATTCAAGATACAGTATACATAGGAAAAAAAAACCAAAACCCACAACAAATATTTTAAAGAATATACATTCAATTTTAAGTTACTTTTGTTTCAAGGCAGCAGGTTTTACTTTTACAGGTTAGTGACCTCTGAGTATTCTCTTAAATAAGTGCAATTT